CACCCCATGCTGGCTGGGGAATTCTGGGAGTTGAAGTCCACTCGTCTTAAAGGTGCCAAGGTTGAGAAACACTGGACTACAGCCATGCTTTTATTCTTCACCCTGGCATCACATCGCCAACATTTGATATGCAGATTCTGAAAATAAACATTAATGTGTGAGCAGCTGTTCTTACATTGGTGTGCTAAACAGTTAAGACATTTGGTTGTAGGAGTATCCCAACGAGGACTGACATTACTATTAGGCACAATAGGCACAGTGTCTAGGGCCCACACCGATGCTTTAATTTGTTTAAATCAGAAAGAATAAAAATGAAGTAGAAGCTATTTAATTTCATGGCTTGCCTTTTGGCCTTGAAAATCTACACAATAAATAGACTACAAATACACAAAATACTAATAAATATACATACAATTCAAATGAAAAGCTCAGTCATATATTAAATGCCACCAACAAAATATTGAAAATCATAGGAAATTTTAATATTATTATTATTTTTATGGAGGGAGAGACCCATGAAGGCAAAAGTGCTGAGGGCCCACGAAAGTCACAATGCAGCCCCAACCCCAATCCCATAATTCCTGCAACTGATCTCATTCAGTAAGTTCATGTTGCATAACAGGGGTGGCTGAGAGGCATCCTAAATCATTATAATGCTGTCTCTATTTTTCACCCAGAAAAATAGTCAGAAGTACTTTCCACCAGCTACAATTAGTTATCTGACTGTAGCCCTGTCTGTACAGAACTTGCCTCATCTTAGTCATCAATATACTCATAGCATTCAGGCTGAACCATGACATAGTCACTTCGGAAATTTTAGCTTGATGCAAAATGCACCCAACAGATACTAGTGAGCAATCATGTGATTGGTCATGTGATTGACCTTCCATGCATGACTGTTTAAAATGCTGGGATTAATTTTAAATAAATTACTTTAAAGACTATTTTCTCCCATATTTTAGTCACTACTTTACTAGTTTACTCACATTTTGAAACCAGCATCTAAAACCCTACTAACCTTCCTTCCTCATGAAAGAAACTTGGCTGGTCAGCCTGATGGCAATTTTATAGCAAAGATATAGAAGCCTCATTAACTAATTGCTTTTAAGTAAGTTGTAAATCGTTTATTTTCCAAGGTGTTCTCTTAAACAATGTTCAACTTTACTACTGAATTTATGAAACAATCTGCAACTGTATGCTAGACTTCAGCACTTTTATCAAACTCAATATATTTTCAATGTTCCCTGCTGTTTTTTATTCATGTCCTTCCCTAATATTGTGTGCATGGTTAGAATCACTTTGAAAGGGTTTTCACTCCAAAGTGTAACCTTGTAACCATTCGAAAATAAATTAAATTATCAAGACAAGTACATAAGATAGGGGCGGCACTAACTTTGTGCATTCCTAAAAATTAATAGTAGAAACAATTGGTGTAGGAGGGTGTACCTTTGAGTTAGTGTTGACTTCTGGCAACTGCCTGGATAAGTCCCTACAATTTTCTTGGCAAGATTTGTTGAAACTGGTTTGCTGTTGCCTTCTTCCTAGGGCTGAGCAAGAGTAGCTATCCCAAGGTCACCCAGCTGGTTTTATACGTCACAATCTCCCAGTTTCTACCTTGATGCCTTAACTGCTACACCAAACTGGCTCTTCAGAAACAATGGTATCTATTGATTAATTGGTTGATTCAAGTGGGACAGTACCTTATCCCAAACTAGCTTTCTTCCAGATGTGTTTGATTCTATACAAAGCACTCCCTCTTCCAATTTTTTCCCACAACAACAACCCTCTAAGTAACTTGGGCTGACAAACAGTGACTGGTCCCAAGTCACCCAACCAGCTTTCATGGCAAAGAGTTAACTTGAAATGGGTCTTTGTGATCCCGGCTGAAGAAATCTAATGTATAAGATCATCAGAGAATTGCCATAGTTGCTCAGCCTTAATCGAGCATATTATGATTGTGTTCAGACCACATGTTCATAAACTACGGTTTATAGCGCAATGGGGAATGACCATGATCGCATGTTCCTTCCTGCCTCCTGCATTTCTCTCTATTTTACTTTATTTTTGTCTTGTGTGATGCTTTTAAGAAAGATCTTAGAATCCTCTTTCTATCCAGCCAGGGGAATTCTCACATGGATTTCTATGCCAAAGTCATGTAATTGGGGGAGGAATGAAAGATATGCATGACTGTAGTATTCATCCACATTCCATAAATATAGGTCTATGAAACCATAGATAAATGTACAGGCACATCATATGTCATTGACTTGAATGAGAAATTCTCTCACATGTATTGAGGGAGAATAACTTTTTATAAAGACATCTTCAGAAAGACATAAAGACTATGGGAATTAGGACATGACCCCTATTTCTTCTCTTTAGTGAGTAGCTCTTCAGAGTGACATAAATTTGCCAAGCTGCTTTGAGGTGAGTTAAAGGGGCCCCCTGGATTTCAGATCATCAGTTCTCTGATATAATACACTGCTAGTACTTCAACTCTGACCTAGAAACAAATCCAGCTTTTATCCAAATACAATACCTTTATTTGCAGCAGACACAGTCAATACAATATTTTTGTTGTGAACTGAATGAAAGCTATGATTAGGATGGGTGATTTACAGGGAATTTATTATGCATAGGCCATTGCATAAACATGCTGCATGAATAAGGGCAGGGCACCCCAGTAATGCATGAAATTGAAGAGGTTGAGTGTTCATCCATAATTGTG